CCGTGATATAGCAGTGGCCATGGAGATAAGGTGGAAGTGAATAGTGCCCGCAAGCAAAAATGGAGAACACACTAGTCTGAAAGGAACGCGAGCGAAGCGGAAAGTAATTAGGTTTTGTGGGCATAGTGAAGCGGTGGGATCTTTCAACCATGAAAATCTGTTGTAATCTCGCGATACACGGTTTAGACCAACAATAAGAAAGGCTTTCTCTATGTCGCTTGAGATAAGGATTTCGCATAATCTAGTGCGGATGATTCCAACGAGGTCAGGTAGGAGGACCGGTCCGCGATACAAGGCTTCGTTGGGCTTAAGCCTTCCTTTATTTTTGCTGAGCCGTCGTATACGCATCTAATTTTCAGATCCTTGTCGTTTTTCTTCATAACGCTATGGTGAGATAAGTAATCACAAGGGTTACGGAGTTCGTCAGTTGGTACAGGTTCAATTACTTTTCTTGCCAGTTGATCTTCAATTACTGCATGATAAGTTTCCAAGTAAGAAGGATTTTGCTGCAAGTGTTTTAATTGATTGCGAAGACGAGAATAGGCCAATAAATAATTCTCGGGTATCTTCGCTGGATCTACCTTTAAGGGTAGCGTGACAACGTACCTTTTTTCATCGGGGTCATAATATATGGTGTCGTTGAAATGTTTAAGGCATTCGTCATCATCACTCTGCTCTGGGTTGTCTAGTATGCCAATGGATTCGAGTTCCCAAAACTGCCTTACTAGTTCACAGAGTTCCTCGTAGTTTGCTGGGTTGGTGATGTCATCATTCTCGATGGAGGCAAAGCTGCAGTCTTTGGCAAAGCTCCATGTATCACGGCGATTTATAGCTACCATCGGCTGTCCTAAGTGGATCATATGTGACAACGCCCAAACCTTCAAAACCACCAACCAATGCTGTTCATCTCTTCCTTGCCCAACATTGATGAAGATATAATCAATTACTGCGCAACAAATCGAATACAAATGAAGTTCATACCTAGTCTCAGCCCTTGGCAAGGAAGAATTTACGAAAAAATGATCGGCATCTTCAAGAAATCCTACAAACACGCCATTGCCAACCGGCTTCTCGAC